GGAAAAAAAAAAAAAAAAAAAAAAAAAAAAAAAAAAAAAAAAAAAAAAGATATAATTCATATAATAAAATTCACCCTTCCAAAGTAAAATTCAGGGGTTATTAGTACACTGCAAGGTTGTGCAATCATTATCACTAGTTCCAGAACATTTCATCATCACAAAAAGAAACTCCACACCCATTAACAGTCCCTTCCCATTCCCCACTTCCCCCCAGCAACCACTAATTTCTTTCTGTCTTTGTGGACTTGCCTATTCTAGACACTTCATATAAACAGAAGAATATATGACCTTTTGTGTCTGATTTTCAAGGTTTATCCATGCTGTAATATACATCAGTACTTTATTATTTCTTTGTCAAGTAATATTCCACTGTATGGATATATCATGTTCTATTTGTCCATTAATCAGTTGATGGACATTTCGGCTATTTCTACTTAGGGGCTATTATGAATAATGATGCTATGAACATTTGTGTACACATTTTTGTATGAACACATGTTTTCAAATTTCTTGGGTTTACACCTAGAAGTGAAACTGATGGGTCATATGGCGACTGTTTAACTTTTTGAAACTGTCTTCCATAGTGGCTGCACTATTTCATATTCCCACCAGCAATGTATGAGGATTCCAATTTCACCATATCCACACCAACATTTGCTATTGTACACCTTTTTAATTACAGCTATCCTACTGGGTGTGAAGTAGTATCACACTGTGGTTTTTTTTTTTTTTTTTCCTTTTTGTCTTTTTTCGTGACCGGCAACGGATCGCAACCCTCAGTGTTGCGCCCGTACCGGACCGGGACCGGCTACGGGATCGCAACCCTCGGTGTTGCTCCTGCACCTCGCTCAGCCAGTGAGCGGCCGGTCTGTATGTGGGATCTGAACCCTCGGCGGGAGCGCCGCCACGCTTCCCAAGCGGCGCACTGTAGCAGTGCGCCACCGGGCCGGCCCATCACATTGTGGTTTTGATGTGCATTTCCTTAACAACAATGATGTTGAGCATCTTCTCGTGTGCTTATTGGCCATTTGTATATCTTCTTTGGAGGAATGTATATTCAAATCCGTTGCTCATTTTTCATTTGTTTTTTTTAACTCTACAGTTATAAGAGTTTATATGTTTTCAATACTATATCCTTATCACATATATAGTTTACAAATATTTTCTCTTATTTCTGTGGTGTCTTTCAACTTTCCTGATAGAGTCCTTTGAAGTACAAAAGTTTTTAATTTTGATAAAGTTAGACTTATCTATTTTTTCTTTGGCTGCTTGTTCTTTTGTGTCATAGCTAAGAAACCATTGCGTAATCTAAGATCATGAAAATTTACACATATATTTTCTTCTAGTTTTATAGTTTAGCTTTTGCATTTAGGTCTTTGATATATTTTTATATATGGTATGTGGTAGGGGTCCAAATTCATTCTTTGCATGTGGATATCTAGTTGTCCCAGTACCATTGGTTAAAAAGACTAATCTGGGCTGGCCCATGGCTCACTTGGAAGAGTGTGGTGCTGAAAACACCAAGGCCACAGGTTCGGATCCCTATATAGGGATGGCCAGTTAGCTCATGTGGGAGAGTATGGTGCTGACAACACCAAGTCAAGGGTTAAGATCCCCTTACCAGTCATCTTTTAAAAAAAGGAAAAAAAAAAAAAAAAAAAAGATTCTTTCCCCCACTGAACTGTCTTAACACGCTTGCTGAAAACTAGTATAGATGTACATGCTTATTTCTGGATTCTTAATTCTATTCCATTGATCTGTATGTCGTTATGCCAGTACCACATGGTCTTGATTACTATAGCTTTGTAGTAAGTTCAGAAATCAGGAAGTGTGACTCCTCCAAATTTGTTAATCTTTTATCAAGATTGTTTTGGCTATTCTGGGTCCCTTGCATTTCCATATGAATTTTAGAATCAGCTCGGCAATTTCTGCAAAGTCAGCCAAATTTTTGATAGTTACTACACTGAATCTGTAGATCAACTTGTAGAGTATTGCCATCTTAACAATATTAAGTTTTACAATCCATGAAAATGGGATTTCTTTTCATTTACTTAAGTCCTGCTTTAGTTTCTTTCAAGGATGTTTTATAGAGTTCAGTGTACAAGTCTCAATTACTTCTTATGTTAACTTCTTTTGTTAAATATTCCTAAGTATTTTATTCTTTTAGATGCTATTATAAATGAAATTATTTTCTTAACTTCACTTGACTTTGGTCATTGATAGTAAATAGGAATATATTATATATAGGGATATATATAACAGGAATATATAATATTATTATTTATAATATTGTAAATGAAATTATTTTCTTCCCTTCACTTTGTTCACTGCTAGTATATAGGAATATAACTGATTTTCCTATTAATCTTATTTAATGCAACATTCAGTCTAAGAATGTTAAAAAATTTCCCATGATAAAGCTTTAAAAACTAGTATTAAATTTTACCAAATGTTTTTTAATGATGATGTGATTTTTCTCCTTTATTATAATTAATTTTTCAAATGTTAAATTAACCACACAATTCTGGAATAAACCCAATTTAGTCTTGATGTACTTCCCATTTTACATTTTACTGGGTTCTGTTATTTATTTATTTATTTGCTTGTTTGTTTGTTTGCTTGCTAGATTCAGATTGCTACTAATTTGGTATTTTTACATTTATGGTTCATTAGTGACAATGACCTATATGTTTCCTTTCTTATTATATCCTTGTCAGGTGATACTAAGATTATAATGAACAGGAGAATATTTCCATTTCTTATTCTCTGAGAGACTGGTGTTATTCCTTCCTTAAATGTTTGTAAAAATTAACCAATAAATCCATCTGGTCTGGAGTTTTCTTTATGGGAAGATTTTTATTTACAGTTTCAATTTTAAAGAAAATATAGGTTATTCAGATTTTCTACTTCTTTTGCATTAGTTTTGGTAAGTTTGTTTTTCTAGGAATTTGTCTATTGCATCAACATTTCCAAATTTGTTGGCCTAAAAATTGTTCATAACTACCCTATCTCCTGCTTGATGACTTTAATTCATTCCTGAACACTCTGCTAAGTGGAAAGCTGTTCAATTTATTTTTTTTCCAATAATTCAATGGGGAAAATTATAACATATTCCATCCTAACTCAAGTGTATGAGTTTGCTAGAGCTACCATGACAAAATACCACAGACTGGGTGGCTTAAACATCAGAAATTTATGCTCTTACAATCCTGGAGGCTAGCAGTCTGAGATCAAGGTATCAGCAGGGTTGATTTCTTCTGAGACTTCTCTCCTTGGCCTGCAGGTGGCCATCATCTCCCTGGATCTTCACATGGTCTTCCCTCTGTGTCTGTCTTAATCTCTTCTTTAAGTCATATTGGATTAGTGCCCAACTATATGACCTCGTTTTACTTTAATTATCTGTTTAAAAGTCGCATCTCTAAATAAAGTCATATTCTGAAGTACTGATGGTTAGAAATTCAACATATAATCTTGGGGAGGGACACAATTCTGTCCATAACACCAAGATACCTAAACAATTTTCAGAGACAGAAAAAGAGATCAATTGAAAAATGAAAATATTATAAGCAATTTTAAAGTAAAATATAATTTGTACAAAAAATATAATATAATGAAGGTTCGTTACACTCAGAGAGGACTTGAGAGTGGGTGATGGCTGATAAAGGAGAGGTTTGCCAGAATCATTATTTGGAAAGTAATGTAAAGTCAGATGACTGACTGTGAGGCAGGCATTCAATATCAGGATGAAGACATACTTTATGATAACTTTCTGTTCCTTGAGACTTTGGCACTTAGAAAAGTCTTCATGACATATCTGCAGAAGCAGAATCTTTGGGATTTTAAAAAAATAGCCCACCTGCCTCTGTATTTCTGCAGTTCCCTGTCCAATCTACTGCCTATATTATGATATAATGTAGGCACCAGATATATACCTATGCCTCTTTTAATACCCTGCTCAAGTATTATCCCCATTATTAGGCTTTTCCTGATGTCAACCCACCTGGACAAAATTCACTTTTGTGTTCCCACTTTACTTTGTACAGACTTCTATAAAGAGTACCCAATACTTTCTGCACAGGTTTAATATCACATCAGTCTCCTTTTAATGTGCTACCACAGTGTTTGGCACATAGAACATGACCATATGATAACTAAATGAAAGAACTTTAAAATACAGGATTATAAAGTTATAAACTTGATAAGCAAAGAACTAATTATTTTCCTATGGTAGCTAAAACTGAAGAAAAATTTAAGCTTAAGCATATAAATATTTGACAGAATCTGCTGGTTTCTACAATAAGGGGGTATTTTTAGATTTTACCATGGTTCTTAAACAAGGTTTATCATCCCTTTAAGAGTAAGAGAATCTAAGAAAACCTTAAGCTGCCCATAACAACAAGAAAAGCATCCTAAAATCTGTCATCGTATATATAAAGCACATATGATGAAAATATACAGAAAATCCATACTTACATGATTGCAGTCTGAAGAAATTTCATTTTCAGGCTAGAAATAAAAAAAAAGGAGAGATGTCAAAAAAAAAAAATCTCAAGTTTTCAAAATACCACCAAAATAAATTCAAAACAAGAAATGTGAATATTCAACCAAATGTGTTTCTTCAATATCAGGAGTAAAATGAAGTTTACATAGCTTTTGGATTGCTGGACAGAAATGTACCAGAAAGGTACATATGAGACACAATCCCTTCCCTATCAGTGGTACAATCTGGAAGTGAAGAGAATACAGAAGAATGTATAAAGTGATAAAGCAATAGCAACGTAAGGATCCTTCCTTACATGACACTTTACAATTCTGAATGCTAAAGAATATAAGGCATAATACAGGTGTTCTTTCTGTAAAGAAAGTTAGATAGCTTTAAAAAAACAAAAAAAACACAGGCCTATTAAAGAATACAGAGAAGGTCCAACAAATTATGTAAAAATTAGTCTAATGTCACCACTGGTGGAAGCTAGTCGATAGGTACACAGGACCTATATGTACAATTTTTGGAACTTTTTATGAGTCTATAATTAAAAATAGAAAGTTTTAAAAACGACTTGGAAATTATACATATTCCCATGAATACATTTTCTTTGTAAAGACAGATCTATCAGAGACAAAATGAACTTTCAATTCCATGACCAAAAAAAAGGTGAACTGGATTTTGCCTTATATTGCATAGCCTTGCAATGCACACGTCCTTTACTTTCCTTGTTCATACCTTTAAAAGAGATACAATTCTAATAATACACACCATAATAAAGCACTATTTCCTTCGAGTTTCCGTAGTATTCCAACCTGTTCAAATGAAGTGAATTTTGTGTACCTTTTATGAAATATTACCAATTTAGCTTGTAAAAGGCACCATTTTCAAAATAAAATGATTTTCTCTATTCAAGAATAAAGATAAGGTAATAAAGAAAAATAGTAAATATTAACAAATCAACCAGCCACACCCAGCATTACTTCAAGAAGAAAAAGTTTTCAAGGGAACTATTAATTCTACTGCAGATTTTAGTAGGCATTAACAACATACAAGCTTGTTTTTATAGTGCTTACTTATAAAATACTGTATTAAAACTGGTTGCTAGGTTATCATAAGATTATAACACATCATTTTTTAACTTTCTCCCTACTTGTCTAAATAAGAACAGATATTTTAATGCCTTGTTGAGGTGCCTGAGTCTCAGAAATCAGTCTCCACACTATGAGTTAATCTAGCTTAAATCTGTTTTCCTCCACTTTAACTTGAAGTCCTTAACTTATATCCTTTAAAAGTGTATTTACAAGAATATTTTTACTTTACATAGGTGGTTTTCTATCCTATCCAATCAATCAGCAATTCTAGTTCTTTCTCAAACAAAGTATGAAAGGTAATAAATATCACAATCTTCTCTACTCATACTCATTTCTACAAAACAACAACTTTGGATTAAAGGGGCACTCTTGAAAGAAATTCAGAGTATTGGAGAATTTTCAAAACAATGTAGTCACATAAGATGTAAGCTACCCATGGAAAGAAAAGTGTTGACACTTTAGTGGCTTGCTTCCCTACAGTGGTAAACTGGATTTTTCCCCCCATTTTTCACTCTCCATTCACAGGATTTTACATCCAAATCTTTTGCCCTCTAAGTTTGTACTGCCTCCTGCTGTGAACTGAGTATATACACCCTTCTCCACTGATGGTGAGCTAGGCCACTGACTTGCTTTGGCCAATGGAATTTTAGCAGGCCCAGTATGAGCAGAGGCTTTAAATATGCTTGGGTGGTTGGGTTTGTATTTTTGTACTTCTACCATTCCCCCATGTCCAGGTAGTTGCTGTACAAGGGCAGACACATGGAGCAGACCTGAACTCAACCTGCAGCCTCGAGCAAAGCCATCCCAAATAACCTGCACAGCCATGGGCAAGAAAAACAAACATTCGTTATGGTAAGTCCCTGAAATTTTGAAGGTATTTGTTATGAAGGAAAATTGACTAATATACCTATCAAGCAAATAAGATAATAAAAATTCCCAAACTTTTAAGTCAAACTAGTAACAGCTATGATTTGAAATTAGTAAATTATATTAGTAAGAACAGAGTACTGTGCCCTTTTATAAAGGAATGACTTAATCCAGAGACGCAAGTGAACTGCAAATTTGGAGACCAGTGTTTGTTGTCATCTCTTCTGCTGCGCTGATTTGCAATTGACTATAAAAGGGTCCTTATTTTTTTCTTCCTAGATTTAGTTTCTCTACCCAGAAAGAAAAGATGACAATAAAGGAATGCCATAAGAACACGGTTACAATGTTGGGCCTTTGAGATTCACGAGACCGAAGAGCTATGAGGAATCTCTAAGTGTAATCAAAAAATAATTAATTTCAGAAATTTAGAAGTGTCTTTAGACTCAAAGAACATAGTAAGGAGTTCACAAAAACAGAGACCTGAAAAATATAAAATACGAAGTAGTATTTTATAACTACTTTGGGAATGGTGGGAACATCAATAATGTCAGCATAAACTAACTCTAGAGAAAGCATAAAAAGAAAATGCTATGGTTTAGCACTGAGACATTTGATAAGGAAGCAAAGAAATCTCAAGGAACAAAAATACAAGAGGGTACTGACTCAGGTTTGGTTCTCAAACTGCACCATTCCTGTGATGTCCCAATCAAATCACTACATCAGCTATATATATATATATATTTTATTTATTTATTTATTTATTTTTTTAAAGATGACTGGTAAGGGGATCTTAATCTTGACTTGGTGTTGTCAGCACCACGCTCTCCCAAGTGAGCTAACCGGCCATCCCTATATAGGGATCCAAACTCGTGGCCTTCGTGTTATCAGCACCGCACTCTCCCAAGTGAGCCACGGGCCAGCCCTATCAGCTATATTTCTGCAAAATTATAAAGGCAGACAATCTTGATTATCTTTAATCCTAGTAGTTGAATAGCATGGGGAATAAAATCCAAAATTATTAAGGCAGAATAAGGCTAAGGATTTTTTTTTCCTTTTACTAAATCAGTAAAATAGTCCTCTGAAATGATCCCAAGAAACGAATCAACAAGTATATATTGAATAATTATGAAGTACCGAAAATTGTGCTAGGCATTGTTACAGGATACAAAAGAAAGTAATACTTTATCTAGTGTCTAATCTCAGATAGTTTACAATCCAGTTATAGAGATAAAATAGTGAAATCAAATCAGTAAGCAAGTAGGGACTTAAGCTAGGTCTAAAGAATCAGAAGAGTGAAAACAGGAATGGAATGATTCTTCCAAAGAGGAAGTTAAATGATCTTCTAGGGCTTAGGAAGAAAATAACAGAACTTCTATTTTTTAAAAAGCTCATTCTTTAATTTACATTTTAATGTATTCTAATAATGATATAATACTGGAATTAATATTTATGAATAAATATATATCTATGGGGGAGGGGGAAGGAAAAGGAGGAATTGATAAAGGGACATGAAAATCAACTGTACAGTATATTGAAAAATTAAAATAAATAAATAAAACACGTATCTAGGAAGCTACTTCAAAAAGTTTATGTAAAGATTTGTATTATCTTTTAATTCTATTTTTCCACAAGCTTTTAGAAGTAGCCTTGTATTGCTTCTTTACTTATTCTAAGTAAATATGAATAAGTAAATACAAGCATACTGGGGGAATGCTTAATAATTTTTTCAAATGATGAGAACCTGATCAAGATAGAGGATTAAGGGTTGATCAGTTTGCTTAGTTGGTTAGAGCATGGTGTTGTAACACCAAGGTTGAGGGTTTGGATTCCCATGCAGGCCAGACAAATAAAAAAGATAGAACATTAAGAGCTGAAATCTTTCTTCTAATCAGTTTAGGAGTCCTACCTCCACCCCCACCCTTCAAATCAGAGGCAAAGTCCTGGCTCCTAGCATCCAATTAGAAGCTGAGCTATGTCACATTATCAATTACTTTCTATAACACTAGAGATAAAATGCTGAACTTTGAAAAAAAGGGTATCTTACATCAAGTGTTTACTCAATGGAAATAAATTATTGTCTTACAATGGAAAACTATGAGTAGAAAACTTAATAAAAAGCCTCATAAATAGCTTTCTGTTAATTTAATGATCAAATTTTGTAGAAGAGACTGCTAGAGTTGCATATCTTAGTATCAATAAAGAAACTATTATGAAAGAGGAAAGACAAAAAGAAAAGAACATAGCATATACCCCCACCCCAAAATATAAGTGACCAAAACAGAGAAAGAACTTGGTTAATGCTGAATGAATGAATGATACAGTGAAAAAAGGTAGTAATGTGGTAAAGGGGATAAGCACTTAGTATCTAGAGACAGCTGCCTGATTCCAATTAAGAGAACATGATGGGTATAACAGGAAATAATAAAAGCTGCAGCTTAACTGAGCCAGGTGCTACATTCATTTCTTACAACATGATGGACTGTGCAAGATAACTGGGATTGTGTCCAATCTTACAGATGAAGTGCTGACGTACAGAGAAACTGAGTAATGAGATCAAAGGTGCACACAGCCGGGAGACAACAAAACTGGATGTATATAATGAGAATAAATGGCAACTAATGCTTACATTTGCTTTCAGCTTGATGCCTCCCCAAAAAGGCTGGGTAGGGTAGGTCAGGTTGAGCACAATTATGGGGGGCCTTTGGGAGAAGAAAAGAAAAGGGCAGATGGGATGAATATACAAAACTAGTGTTCTAGAGTGATTTGTCTGACAGTAACATAATGAATTCAGATGCAGCCAGTCCAGGTAAGAAACCAATGAATTAGATAAACTAGGGATCTAGATTAGCTCTTAAACAACCACAGCAAGGTATAAAAATTTTGCTTAGTTCATTGCTTTTTCTAAATCAATTATTAAAATGGGTGTGGGGGCCGGCCTGGTGGCGCACTGCTACAGTGTGGCGCTCCCGCCGAGGGTTCGGATCCCACATACAGACCGGCTGCTCACTGGCTGAGCGAGGTGCGGGCGTAACACCGAGGGTTGTGATCCCGTTGCCGGTCCC